GCCGAGCTCCGGGGTCCCCCCTGCTCACACTGTCTGAGCCAGTGACATATTCACATCTGTTCTCTGAAAGGGTCCAGACCAGGCCCCCCGGATGTGCTACTTTGGCATGTGGATCCTTTTGAGCTGAAGGCAATCGAGACCCTGTGACCCCAATATAAACTTTTACCTCTCCTTTCAAGATTTAAATTGGGGGGCTTCCCCATAATGTCAGTTCCCACCAGAAATAACTTTTTATGGGACAGGGCCGACTTCTCATTACCGAACATCTGCTCCTCTTCTCATCCTGCAAATTACTACCTTCCTCCCCTCATGTGTACCTCATTCTAACTTTCTGTCTCTGAACCCCTCGTGTATGGAGGTCTGTAATAAAAGTTGGTTATTTTCTCTTGTTGAGCTAATCTATCTCATGTCAGTGTAGTTAGAACAGCAGAAAGGGCCTGAGAGGGCAGAGGACAGTTTCTCATCCCCACATCCCAGTCCCAGAGCACGCCTGGATGTCGTTGGGGGTTGGCGCTCTGGCCAGGCTGTGAAGCATTCTGAGGCTTGGCAGGGTCTGGGCTGGCATACAGCACCTCTCGGAAGGGGCTTGGAATATTTCTCCATGACCACTTGATCTCAATGGCACAATCAGGCAAATTTGGGGTTTTGTGTTTCGTTAACTGCTTGTTGTTAAGTTCTTTTTTTTCTTTTCATTTTTTATTAAGGTATTATATGTGTACATATCTTACCATTGTGTTGTTAAGTTCTTATGAAGTTAAACAAGTACTGTTGTTCCCCTCCTTGTTTCAACGAGGAAATTTAAAATTAACTTTAAAAAATGATTTAAACCTAACTTCTCTTCCCACATCCTAGACTTTTTTGTTTTGCATTTCAAGGCTTCGTTTTCTTACACCTTTTTTTTTTTTTTTTTTCCTCCTCTAGAACTTGCTTACCTCCTCTTTCTCAGCCCTGTTCTGCAGCAGGTGTTTGTGGCTTTCGTGGGTGCAAATGAGTGTTCGGACTGCTTGTTCGCTCCTTGGAGGACATACAGATGGCTTTAGCTTTTGGGCATGTAGAAGTGCTTCCAAATGCATGGAAATTTTCCCCAGTGGCTAGGATGCTCTCTTGGGTTCAGCTCTTGGGAATTTTGTTTCTGGAAGTGTTTTCCTTCAACAGATGCATTTTTGAGCAGAAAATGAAAAAAACAACAACACACGTATAAATCAGGCATTCATGCTCGACCCCCTCCCCCATCTCCTTTCCATGTTGACTTGATGGACTGAAGAGAATGGGCATCTCTGGAATTGGTCCCAGGTAGTGTTTGAGGTTGGGTTTGAACCTAGACAGCCTGCCTCCATAGCTCTTGTTCTTAACCTCCAAATCAGTGGTTCTCCCCAGGTGGGGAGGGCAGTTGTCAGACATTTCTGATGGTCACCACCTATGACGCAGAGGAGGAGGGGATGGTGGTAGAGGCATTGTGTAGGTAGAGACCAAGGATGCGTGCACAGGACAGCCCCCAACAAGGAAGTACAGGGTCCCCAATGTCATGGGGCTGAGATTGTCAACCTACTCTAAGTAATCTCCCAAAAAATTTGTTTTCTATTGACAGTGGTGGAGTTAGTTTACCTTTTAACCTTAAACCTGCTAAAATACATCACAGGTGCAGGGTGGTGTGATGGAATGCTTCAAAGAATACAACATGTCTGAGAACGGAGAACTTGGTCAATATTCCCTGGTGCTGAAAGACACCCTAACCTCGTGAGAAAGGGACTCCGCACGGGGGAACTGGTTTGTCCCAGCCCTTGGTCAGACACCGGTGTGCTCACAGCCTGTCTTTGCCCGTTTCACACTTGGACCCTCTGGGTGCTAACTGTCCTTTAAGGAAGGACACTGACCCTGACTTTGCTTTCCATCGAAATGCTATTGATTGTGGAAACTGACATGTTCGGAAATGTGGGGACCTGTGTGAGAAACCACCTGTCAGAACCTCCTTTCTGACACCCCCCCAGAGTCCTGCTGCCACCGTTTTGGGAATGACTGTGAAAACCTTGGAGTTTTAAGGGATTCTTTAAACTCAAAAGAGAAAAATGTAAGAAACTGAGCTAATTTCTGGGTTGGGCAAATATACAGCTTGCTCAACTCCTTGGACTTATAGGTAGCGGTTTAATTTTTCTCATTTTATGTTTATTTGTTTTAAATTCTACCAAGTAAATGTTTATATAAATAAAACTAAAAAATATTACAGGAGTTAAACAATTTTTATTTTTTTATTGTGTTAAAAAAATTTCATTTTTAAAGGTATAGTACAGTAAACATTTTCTAGTTTTTAAAAAGTTTTTTTTGGGGGGAGAAACATTGATTTGTTGTTTCACTTATTTATACATCCATAGGTTGATTGTTGCATGTGCCCTGACTGGGGATCAAACCCTCAAACTTGCCATATTGGGCAAGTCCTGGGTTTGATCCTGGGCTGGCAGCTCTAACCAACTGAACTGCCAGCCCAAGACATAAATTTTCTAGTTTTATGCTATAGTTAGAATGATAGTTCATTATGGCTGTTTTCTATCAATCACAACTCATTGGCTGATTGATTTAACAAGTATTGGAGTGCTTACCAAATTGGAGATAGAACAGGGATATGGCTTTGTTTTGTTCCAAAATAGAAAATTTTAATGCTTTTCTAATGATGAAATATGCGCTTGTTCAGAAAATACAGGAAAGCATGCCAATTGTTATTCTACAACTCTGTTAACTACTGTTGACATCCTGGAATATCCTTCTAGATTGCTTTTTGTTGATATTGCTGATCTTTGTCATGTTATATTTTTACCCCAAATGCTATTGTACTCTATACTCTTGTGTTAACTATTTCCAGTTAATACAGTGTGGACCTCTTGGCAGTGAATTTTTCTATACAATCTGTTTCATTTCCATAGGTGCCCTGTACTCAGTAATGTGTATGTACCGCAATCTCAGTGATCATTACTCTTTCATGGAACAGCCAGGTTTCCTCTTTCTCTTCTAAACAACATAGACGGTCGTTCTTACGTATACCTTTGTGTTCTTGGTTAGTGAGGGGAGAAACAAGGTCTCTTACTGCTGCATTCCCAGGAATTAACACTATACATAGTAGATATGTAATATAATAATAGTTGAGTGAATGGATATCCAATCTTGTTATTTTCCTAGGATTAGGAATAGGGCTTTAATGTGGGGTGGGACTTGATGGTGAGGTGGGGATCTGGGTGATTGGGGTGGGACAAAGTTCTAATTGAGGCCACTCAGGTCCATTGAGACCAGAGCTGCCTGGGATGGAGGAAGGAGCCCACAAAGGGAGATGCCTTCTCCAGATGTTTGCTGATTGCTTACCGCACACTCAAGGACAAAAGAGAAAAACTGCTTCCTCTGGTGCCTCCTCCTCCTCACACGCCAGTCTCCCCTCTGTAGGCAACCAGAGTTGCAGGTCGGTTCTCTGTCCTGTTCACCGCCTTTATGCTACTTGCCAGCTTTCTTCTGACCTTAAGTTTCCCAACTTCTCTGAGCCTCTGTCTCAGCTCTGTAAAGTGGAGGTGATATAATGGCTAATAATAGTATTTTTTTGTGCCTTGCAGAGAGTGAGAGATTAATTACGAAGTGTCCATTGTTGTTAGCTAATACTGTGCACTAAGTCAGCTTTAATAGTTGGCTTAATGCTCTTTTGTAGGGAGGAATCCACTGTATGCTCATAGAAACCAACTTACTAACAGAGTATATAATACTGTATGTGCTGGGTTTTATGAAACAATCGTTTTGTGAATTAGGGACTACCTGCAACCCTGTGTGGTGCAGGTGGATAATCCTTTATTTTTAATATATTTGTATTGATTTCAGAGAGGAAGGGAGAGGAAGAGAGAGGTAGAAACATCAACGATGAGAGGGAATCATTGATTGGCTGCCTCCTGCACGTTGGACTGAGCCCACAACCCAGGCATGTGCCTCTGACCAGAATTGAACCTGGGACCCTTACGTCCGCAGACCAATGCTCTATCCACTAAGCCAAACTGGCAGCCACCGCTGCCTTTCGGTTGTGGTCGGGGAAAAGTCTGTACGTCAATGGGAAGCTGTTTCTGAGCTTGGAGTGAAGAGAATGATCTGCAAAATGTTGGTTGTGGAATCTAGAACTTAAAATGAATGTTGCTATCCAAGTAGAATCAATTATTTACCACCTCTCTGTTGATCACACGTGATTCATAGGTAGTAACAAAGCCTCGGAGGAGAAAGAAGGAAAGGGGCTGTGACACTGCAGGATAGTAGGGTATGTTTTGAGAGGTACGGACACCTAAATATCATTGAAGTGTACGGAGTGTAACCAGACAATCAGTGGGTCGTGTTGCCTGTCACCACTTGAGCCAGTTCAGCAGAGACAGGGCTGAACCATATATGAGCATTTATTCCAGTACTGCGGGCAGAGTGGGAGAGCAGCTGGTCACCCACAAAGATCTGCTCCGCCCCCCACCATAAGCCCGCTGCTTCTGTTGGGTAGAAGGACAAAGATTACATGGGGAAGTAGGCAAGAGGTATGCCAAATGGGCAGTTAACGGGTAAGCAGAGGGCTGGGGTCTTCAAAGGGCTGGTGATTCTGGTTTCTGCAAGCAAAGTTGTTAACCTTTCCATGACTATAAGCAGCTCCAAATGGGAAGGATGGGCTGCATTTAGAATGTGCCTCCTCTGATCAGAACAAAACATGGTTATTATTTCTTACAATTCTAGCTGGTTCCCCAACATTCTATTCCCTATCAAGAGCACTGTTTAATGAAAAAATTTTGAACCCAATTTTATGTCTTTAATAATGTTTTTCTTATATTTCCTTGATATTATAATCCCCCAGCATGCCCAGAAACACCTGCGTTCTGCTTCTGATAGCTTCAGCAGCTTTTATTTTGGAGGAACTTCCTCACTGCTCCTCCTCTCCCCCGCCCTGTTTATTAGGAACAGTACTACAATTAATGTAGTTTAAAAAAAATCTCTTCTGTCTTTCTCAGTTCTGCTGGTGATCCTGTTTTTCCAAGTCAGGAAAAGGGACTGAATGAAGGGCGGGGCCAGATTTGAAGATTTCTTTCCTTTGGCAGTTTGGACTGAGTTTAGACGTCCTAAAGCCAGCTTGGCTCTCTACAGCCCTCGAGGAATATGTCTTTTAGATGAATGGTTTCCACATTGCCGAGGAATTCACACACCCAAAAACGAAAGCATCAAAACGGAAAAAAATGTGACCCACATTTGTGGTGGTTCTTGTGACAGAGTGTCCTCGGTACTTTGCCGTCTCCCTGAGTGGAGCCCAGGGAGCATGACTTAATGTGACGCCTGGGCCATCGCCATGAATGAGTTCTCTCATGCTGAGTGAGCCGTACCTGACAGAACGGAGACTGTGAAGCAATTAGAGTGATGCTCACAGTTCCTGTGGGGCGCTTGGAGAGCTTTTGATGGCTCTACTGTCCAGTTTTTCTCTTTTTTATTGATTTCTCTCTCTCTTCTTTCTCACTTTGGAGTTAACTCAGTTCGCGTGCCTCTTACATCTAAGTAGCCAAGCATCTAAGCACGTATGGATGGTAGGGATGTCAGATCACCTCTTGCATGGATGCCATCATGTCTCTGGCAGATGGTACCTGCTGACCATTGCACTTCCCCTGCTGAGCCATTCAGCCTTAGAACCCAGCACAGCACTCCAGGATGCCACTGCCACAATGAGTTGAATGTAAGATGAAACCTCTGTTTTCCCAACATCTACTGTTTGTCACCCAGGCCCCTACAGTTTACAGGCGAGGAAAACCAAGACCCAGGGAGGGAAGGGAGTTACCCAGAGCCTCAGAGTTGGAATCCAGGTCCTCAGGTTCTCGGACTTTTGCTCCTCCCCCAGTTATCCGCTCCTGGTCCCTGTGGGTTTAATAACCTGGGAGCCAACCAAGACTCTGGGCCTGTGAGAATAAGACCGATGGCGAGAGGGGGACTCTTACGAGTAAGACAACGTCGTGTGTGTGTTCACACTGATTAGGACATCGGGCTTTCTTCCCGATTCTTTGCTCTTTCTTGGTGGTGGTGTTGCCTGGGAGCTCCAGGTCAGCGGTTGCCAATCGGTGGTCCTCGGACCACTGGTGGTCCATGGGGTCCGAAAGGTTGGCGACCGCTGTCTAGGTAATAAACAAATGGTGTTTTCTAATTTGACAGTACAGGAACCTGGAAGTTACTACCAGCCCTAGCTCCTGTTTTTGTAGAAGAACTGTCTGTGTCCAAGGCCAGTGGGGAGGACTGGCAGGGAGACTGATATTTATTTATTGTGGTGCGTGTGTGTGTGTGTGTGTGTGTGTGTGTGTGTGTGTTGTCAGGATCCTTAGACAGAGAAGGAAAATAACACTTGGGGTGAGGCCCAGTTCCAGGGAGCAGCAAGCAGTGGCTCATCCTTTCATTTAGACTCTGCCCTGGCAAGGACCAAGTGCCTAGAAAAGCCTTGGCTACTCAGGCTGTTGCTCTTTCAGAGGAAGTTAGCTAGAGGGAGGTGTGAAGGGCCCTTTGATATTTTTCTTTGCCACTATGGGAAGGGGAAGCTTCTTCAGAAAGAAAAAATAAATCCCATGAGTCATTGCCACATTTGCAAATGCTTTTACCCTGTTTCCCCGAAAATAAGACAGTGTCTTATATTAATTTTGCTCCCAAAGATGCACTAGGTCTTATTTTCAGGGGATGTCTTATTTTTCCATGAAGAGGAATACGATACACATTATTGTTAAATGAAAATAAAGGAAATTTATTACCTGTATACGGTACGGTAGTATAGTAGTTGTTAACACAAACCAGACAAATTGTGAATCCTACAGTATCAAGAATTTACTCATTTATTCAATGACAATCATGTCATCATCTTCTGGAACATCATCATAACAATCCAATTCCTGAATTTCCTGGTGAATTTCTTATGACTCCATTTCTTTCAGAATCAGTGGACCAAATCTCTCATGTTTAATATAGGGGGGATATCTTATATTTCACTCAGAAGAAAACCTGTAAGTAGGTCTTATTTTCGGAGGATGTCTTATTTTCGGGGAAACACGGGTATATCATATCATCAAACTTAGTTGCTTTACTTAGTCTTTTTCTTTCTTTTGAAAAGTTATAGCAGTAATACATACACATAGTAAACACACAAGCAGAGAGTAGAGCAGTGAGAATGAAGTGTCTTCTTTTCCTCCCCACATGTACTGGTACATAAAATATAATGACTGTGTCAGTTTGCTGGGCTGCCATAACAAAGTATGTAGGCTGAGTTGCTTAAACAACAGAAATTTAACCTCTCACAATTCTGGAGGCTAAATGTCTGAAATGAAGGAGTTGAAGACGTGGTCTCTTGAGATCTTGCTCCGTAGCTGGCAGATGGCTGTGTTCTCCGTGTCCTCACGTGGTTTTTCTGTGTGTTTGGGTCCTAATCTTATCTCACAAGGACACCAGTCATATTGGATTAGGGCCTACTCCAATGACCTTTTGTAACCTTAATTACTAAGGATCCTGTAGCCAAATAGTCTGAGATACTGGGGATTAGGACTTCAACGTGTGAATTCATAGTAGGCTATTAATCAGATGATCAGAGCGTGGGGAAGATAACCCAGTTCAGCCCAGAACACTGACTTACTCTTTTAACTACATTGTATTGTGTAGATAGCCCGTAATTCATGGATCTGGTCCCCTGTGTATCTGGGGAATAAGACTGTTTCCGTGCTTGTAGTGAATAACCTCACGCCTAAATCTCTGTGCCCCCGTGTAGGTACACCTGCAGGGTGAGCTTGTAGATAAATTGCAGGCTTTGGCCTCCAAAGAGATTGTCTTGTGTCCTTCCAGAATGCACAATAATTTCTGTAGAACAGGAGAGTGTGCGGTATCTACAAATTAAAGCCCTAATACTTGGTGATGTAATGCCGGTGTGAGACATGTTCAGAGTGTGGCACAGGACTTGTGCACGTGGCCCTGTAGAATGGCCCTTTGAGAAATGTTGCCATTGTAACTTTACTGTATACTTTTCATTCAGCATCCATGTACTGAGGCATTGATGGACACAGTTTTGCTCATTTCTCTATTGTTATTTTTATTGTTTTATTTTTTAATCGATTAAAGAGAGGAAGGAAGAGGAAGAGAGAGAGAGAATGAATCGGCTGCCTCCTGCATATCCACACTGGGGCTCGAGCCTGCAGCCCGAGCATGGGCCCTGACCAGGAATTGAACTGTGACCTCCTGGTTCCTAGGTCCATGCTCAATCACTGAGCCATGCTAACTGAGCATGTTGTTGTTATTTCTAAGTAGACTTTAATTTTTAGAGCAGTTTTAGTTCACAGCAAAATTGAGGAAGGTACAGAGATTCCCCATATATTTCCTGCCTCACAGGTGCACAGTCCTCCCTCATTATCCACACTCCTTGCCAGAGTGGCACATTTGTTACAATTGATGAGCCTACCAGTATAGTGACATATTATTATCCAAAGTTCATAGGGTTCACTGTTGGTGTTCTACATTTGTTTATTATATCCTGACTTGTTCAGTGAGAAGTTTTGGCCCTCTGTTGCTGAAGTAGCAAGATACTGGCACTTCTCTTCAAGCTTGTGACAGCCCTGGAGGTTAGGCTGGCCAGGAATTATTCCAGTTTTGAAAGTGAGGATTAGGAGAGAGACATAGTCAGAGTGAAAAAGCCGTAAGTGGCAGGGGCTGGATGTGAACCTCTTTTATTCTAAATTTTGCTTTTCCAGAAAGAAGTGGTAAATCAGCAGGGCTGTGAGATTTTTTTTTTTTTAGAGGCTAATATAACATTTCTTTTATGGATGCTGGTTTGAGTTTCTACTTGTGTATATTAGTGTTTTGCTTTGTTTTAGCTGAAGATAATGCACTTGTTGCCTTGATTGTTGGCATAGTTTGCTTTGATAAATAACTACTAGAAAAAGGCTACTGGATTTTAAAATATACATGTGTGTATATGTACTAGTATATCTGTCTACTTGTCAATTATACCATAGACTAGGGTGAAGGTGTAAGTAGGGAAGTTTGAAAAGTCAGATCCATAGTATGCCGCCTGACTTTAGTAATAGAAGATTAAAACAGTATGGCTTTCTTTTCACATTTTCCATAATCACATCTCTCTGCCACTGTTTATCTGTCTTTAAATGACCAGTTAGGCTTACATTATGTATATGTCTGTTTCTCTTCTGAGGAGCTATTAAGGTTAAATGTTGATTCTGCTGTGGCAAAGTTCTATCATGGAACAGGAGAGTGTTTAAAAAAAACCTTTTCCATAATAGGTCACATTTGAATTTGACATACTTTAAGACTAGTTATCTAAGACCACAGAACTAAAGAGGTAGTAACCAATGAAGGAGATTCTGAGGAAGAATTTGGAAGGCTGAGGAGGGAGGCAGAGTACAGTGAGAAGACAGGAGGGAGGGAATTGTAAAGGAAGGTGATCTGTAACACAGGCAGTGGTGTTGGGGTCCTGCTTGTGTGGGCTGTTAGCTCAGCCCAAGTAGAATAATCTTACAAAGCCGTGGCCTAACATCATGAAGTAAGAGGAATCTTTTGAGGAAGATGGCTTGGGAAACTGAATGTGGAGAGAGTACATTAGCAAAAATTTAAAATAATGAAAGAGTGTAGAATGTCCAAGGGCTCAAACAATGGCGGTTCCATGAAGTAGATGAAATAACTTGGGAAACGACATTTCCAAGATCTGTCTTAGCATCCTGTGATTACAGCCCGTCTCATCCCTGTTTACCTGGGACCTCTTTCCATTGTAAGTGATGTTTATAGGGTGGCATTCTAATTGATGCTTGTTTTGCAGCTGTGCCAGATCTTGAACTTCCTTCCAAAGCATTATCAAGAGACTGAATTGTTAGGTTGTAGGTTTTATATTGATTGTACTGTACTGTATATAGGTTTAGTTATTATTTGCAGTTTATAATCATCTCTTTTGTAGAAATCCCTCCCTGACACCAAGTGTGTCTGATTAGGTCCAAGAGACCACAGCATAAGCATAAATATTGTTACCACTTTATAAATGATACGTCTTAAAAGGGGTTAGTTACTTGCCTGTGTGCCCATACAATTCATTCTTCTGCTCATGGATTTTGACAAGTTCTTTTCTTGGGCCAAATTCCCTGTTTTTCATGTTCTCCTCACCTCACTTTGGCCTTTTTCTAGTTCTTGGCCTCTTTTGCTTTTTAGCTGATCCCGGAAATTTTTATTTTGCCTAAGAGTAATGCTTATAGTGCTTCAGGTGAATTGTGCTTTTTCTGTTTCATTATTGGGCATCTCCCAAGCCTTAATGCTTGTCATTAGAGACAACCTTAGACCCATTCTGTGGAAAGCTTTGTTCACATACTAAGCTGTCCCAGCATGCTCTGCGGGAGGAATGGCTCCGGAAAATGGCAGCTGAAAGGTGGACCCACAGAGGGCTGGGGTTAGCAGGCTTGTAAAGCAGTGGCTTTAAGAGGATGTTCTGTGTTTCTTTTTCAGTTGGCCTGCTGCTGTGGGACTGCTGGCTGCTCCCTCTGCTGTGGCTGTTGCCCCAAGATCCGACAGTCCCGGAGTACCCGCTTCATGTATGCCCTCTACTTCATCCTCGTCTCTGTCCTCTGCTGCATCATGATGTCACAAACCGTGGCTAACGAGATGAAAGAGCACGTAAGTCTGCCCTGTCTCAACTCTTCTCAGTTCTGATGGTTGATGAGGGTGTGTGGGAAACATCTAATTTAGCGCATGGGCCCACCCACCTGGGCCCACCCACCCCAGTGTGGTTTTGGGTACACTCACTCTCTCCAAACCTCCGGGGAAGTCACTTTATTATTTATTTATTTGTTTTAAGTTATTTATTTATTTATTTATTATTATTATTTTTAAATTTCTTTACTGATTAAGGTATCACGTATTTGTCCTCAACCCCCCATTCCAATCCCCTCCCCCTCCCCACTCATGCCCTATTCCCCTATTGTCCTTGACCACTGGTTAGGTTCATATGTATGGACATAAGTCCTTTGGTTGATCTCTCCCTTTTATCCCCACCCTCCCTCGGGGAAGCCAGTTTAATGCTTTCCTGATCTTTAGTACCCTGTTTCCCCGAAAATAAGACAGTGTCTTATATTAATTTTTCTCCCAAAGTTGCGCTAGGTCTTATTTTCAGGGGATGTCTTATCTTTCCATGTGCTAGGTCTTATTTTCGGAGGATGTCTTATTTTCGGAGAAACATGGTAGTAGTGTGGATGCAGGCCGATGCTGTTCGTAGAGAGGATTATGTGTTTTGTCTCAGCCTTGTTCATAGCGTTTCTGATTAGATGTACAGTTTTTTCTTTTTTTTTCTTTCTTTTTTTTAATTAAAAATATATTTTATTATTGATTTTATACATAGAGGAAGGGAGGGAGATAGAGAGTTAGAAACATCGATGAGAGAGTCATCGATCAGCTGCCTCTTGCACACCGCCTACTGGGGATATGCCCACAACCAAGGTACATGCCCTTGACCGGAATCGAACCTGGGACCTTTCAGTCCCCAAGCCGACGCTCTATCCATTGAGCCAAAGCGGTCCCGGTGATGTACAGTTTTTTCTTGTTCTAAGGATGGCTACCAGGATCTCAGGAAGTAGCTGTTATAAAACACTTACTTTGACCTGTAGGGGAAGTATGACAAAGCCTATGATCATTCCGCAGGTAATGAGGCAGCAATAGGGCGATTTTTACTTTTCTGGATATGTTACTTGTAGGTGGGTGTCTCCAGACATTTCTTGGGCAATGATGCTGATACAGACACATATAGGACCTTTTTTTTCTGGAATTTCCCCATAGTAGACTATTAATCAACCAGATGATGGGGGCGGGGATGTGTTGTGGTTTTTGAGGGAGTCCAATAAATAACACAGTCTTGCCCACCTGGTGTGGCTCAGTGGTTGAGCATTGACCTATGAACCAAGAGGTCACGGTTTGGATTCCTGGTCAGAGCACAAGCCTGGGTTGTGGACTTGATCCTCAGTAGGGGACATGCAGGAGGCAGGCAATTAATGTGTCTCTCATCATTGATGTTTCTATCTTTCCTCTCTGAAATCAATAAAAATATATGTTAAAAAACACGCACACAACACCATCTTTCCCCTCCCTGGTTCTGAACAAATCGACAAAAAGACTACAGTGTCAGCAGGTTCATGCCAAACATCACTTTTCTCCCTCATAGACCTGATGTGAGCCAATGTGGCTTGTCTCTACAAGGAAGTGGGCATCCTACTACTGATCCCCAAAATCAGTCAGACTTACTCACTTGGGGGGTCCCCTGGCCAGGGTAGGCTTTGTCTGCAGGGGCACCGTTTGCTGGGATGAGAAACAGTTATGCCCCTTGGGGCAGCTCCCTTTGAGGGGAAGGGAGAGGAAAAGTGAGCTTTGCAAAGCCCCTTTGCCCTTCCAGCTAAGTGCTCTGTGCTCTTGGAACGTCTCCCCTAATGGAGATGGCATCCCCAGGAGCACCTGAGGAAACATTTCTCCCCAATCTTATGCTGAAACCACAGACTATTTTACATACACTGTGCATCAAAACAGCCATTTAAAAAAAACTCACTTGATATATTCTTATCCATTTGTTAACATAGGCCCCTTTGAAGCTTTCTGTTAGGTAAATTGCCTTTACAATTGTGATTGTATGACCTGGAATATACCTGAACTACTATCCAAACTTGTGAGATTAAGATTCCCCTCTGATTGCTTCACACAGTGGATCTCAGTCTACTCAGTAAGGCACCACAGTGGGCGCCATGGGGCATTCGAACTTGTGAGAAACGAAGCTGATAACTCAGAAGACAAGGCATAAAATCTTCTGAGGCTTAAAACAAGGTGGAAGGGAGTAAGTACCGTATTAGAATAGGCACAGAGTGCTGTGCAAGTTTGGAGACAGTGAGACCAAGAACTAAGGCCACCTTATTAATTTGCACCAAGTTTCACTCCATCTTGATGATGTTTATCTTGGACTTTCTTCCTCTTACCATGGTTTAATTTTCTGTGTTTGTGATAAGAAGTTTAAGAGGAGGAATACTGACAGGGTAGATTTTATTTTTATACTAATCCTGGCATATGTTTATTGACTTTAAAGAGGAGGGGCGTGAGGGAGAGAGAGGTTTGAGAGAGAAACATTGATTGATTGCCTCCTGTATGTGCCCTGACTGAGAATCAAACCTGAAACCGTTTGGTGTACATGACAAAGCTTCAACCAACGGAGCCTCCAGGTCAGGGCTTACAGGGTAGATTTTAATCCTTATCCTGAAGGTCCACTTAACCTTCCACATATTTACCTTTGCTTTTCTGGTAACTCAGGGTTCTATTTAAATTCAACAAGGATTGGCTTGAGGACCCACTGTGGTACTTGGGCAGGAACTCTCTGTGAGAACCAGATGTCTATGGTACGACCTCTGCTCTTTGCTCTTAAGGAGTCCTGGCTGCTGTCGCTCAGTTGGTGAGCATCGTTCCATGCACTGAAAAGTCACCGCTCGCCCTAACCGGCTTGGCTCAGTGGATAGAGTGTAGGCCTGCGGACTGAAAGGTCCCAGGTTCGATTCTAGTCAAGGGCATGTACCTTGGTTGTGGTCACATCCCCAGTGGGGTGCAGGAAGTTTGCAGGAGGCAGCTGATTGATGTTTCTCTCTCATCAATGCTCATCCATGTGTCTAACTCTCTATCCTTCTCCCTTCCTCTTTGTAAAAAAAAAAAAAAATCAATAAAATATATTTAAAAAAAGAAAAGTCACCAGCTCAATTCCTGGTCAGGACACATGCCCAGGTTGTGGGCTTGATCCCTGGTTGGGGTGCATATACTAGTAGGAGGTAACCATTCGATGTTTCTCTCTCTCTCTCTCTCTCTCTCTCTCTCTCTCTCTCTCTCTTTCTTTCTCCCCATCTTCCTCTCTCTCTAAAAGTCAATAAAAACATATTTTAAAAAATAAAATAGTATTCAGTCTCTGTAGAATTAAACTTTGTATCCAAGAAACAAAACCTGAAACCATATAAAGTATACTCAAACCTATCAGAAATGTTGTTACTGGAGGCAGTGATCACTTGGGAGCCATGGGTATTTATTTATTTATACATTTTTATTAATTTCAGAGAGGAAGGGAGAGGGAGAGAGAGAGAGAGAAACATCACTGATGAAAGAGAATCATCGATTGACTGCTCCACACAGGGGATTGAGACCACAGCTTGGGCGTGTGCCCTGTGCCTGGGAATCGAACCGTGACCTCCTCCATAACCTGATGCTCAACTACTGAGCCATGCCAGATGGGCTACAGGTGCATATTTTAGGATGTGATTTTTATAATAATAATTTTAACATTTGAATCACCATCCATGTAACCTGCCCTGTGAAATAGTTCAGAAAAACTCTGGCCAGTATCTATGATTTCTGACTGTTTGTAGAACATTTAAGAAACAGAAGATACTGAGTCGTGTTGCTAGGGAAGGCTTCCTGGAGGAAGTGACGTGTGTGATAATGAGTGTCTTAATTGCTAGTATTTATTGGGTGATACCAGGTGCCAGGTTTTGTTCTGAAGTTTTACCTGTATCATCTCCTTCGTCACTGTTCTACTCATCAGATAAGAGAATGGAGGCATTGAATCATTTAAGTACCTTGCTCAAGGATTCCAGCTCTGATTGGTGGAGTTGGGATTTGAACCCAGGCAGAATGTGTTCTTAGCGACTAGACAGTACAGGTAGAGAGGAGAGAAAACAACAAGAACAGTCATGTGTGGAAGGACAAAGAGTAGGCATGAGTAGGTAAAATGACCAAGTCTTGCAGGAATTTCAGTGCTCAGGTGTGTCATTTGACCATGGTCTGATGTTAAATGGGGAGCCATTGTAGGTTCGTTATAGAGTAGGAGGCTGTCATCAGAGAAACAGACAGAGATACTTAGGGCAAAAGGCCCAGCAGTGGTGTGGTGTGTGTGTGTGTGTGTGTGACTGTGTGTGACTGTGTGTGTGGTGTGATTTGGTGTCAGAGCAGAGGGAGGGAGGAGAGAGAGAAGGGGTTCTTATAAATGGGAGCTTCATAGAGGCTCTTATAAATGTTTCTTTGCCTGTCCCCTGAATGTACTTATTTAAAAATGGTTTGGCTAGGCTTCCTGCATAGGGAATGAAGTCCCTGTGGGCGAAACCAATCCTTTTCCATCTTTAGGGCCTCACAGGAGGGCCGGCCAGCTGGTCACAAAGTCAGCTTGTTTCAGGGCCTATAGATCAGAGTCTGACCTCATCCTCAGGCGGTGCTGGAGGGTGGGTGTTGAAAGATCCCCTTATGGGAAGCACACTGGGCTTCTGCTGCAGTCCTCGCCCCCTCATTGTCGGCCTGTGGGAATGCCTGAGTTGTGATGGGAGGAGGAAAAAGCCTGCATGCTTGTCACAGGCCGGAAGGGAGTGTGCAATGGCCTCCCACCCAGCATTCCTGTGCTGTGGACAGGTCTCTGTCCGAAGCCACTGGGCCTTTGTTATAGGAGTTAAAAACACGAGGGCAGCAGCCTTTTCACTTATTTTCAGTTTTTGCCTCGGTTTCAGAATGTGCTCTGTTCAAGTTTGAACAAGAGGGAACTACAGGGAGCGGCTGGGCCAAACTTCTCCCTGCTTCTTCCCACTAGGGGCGCTCCTCTTTCCTGTGAGAGCTCTGGCTCAGGGAAAGCGCGGCTGTGCTGGGTGAATAGGGTGTGATTTTGTTTCCTGGAACATTTCCCCCGTCTCCCCGTTTGATTGCAAGTCATTCATGTCTGCTACCATGTCATTCAAGCGGTACAGTCCTGCAATATTTGATGCCGGGGGTTAAAAATCCATTTTAGAACGTAGAATGCCAAAAAATAAAAATAAAAAAATTAGTGAGGGATTTAGGCCTCCTGACTTGCACCAGTAAATCCAGATGTGACTTCTCCATGTGAGTTTGGGGCACCCTGGGAAGCTACACGGGCATTCTGGGAGGGAGGAGAAAGGACTCCTTGTTTTCTGTAGAAGAGGGGCCCCTGGAACCAAAGGGGGGACAGGTGGCCCATGTGGCCCCCGTACCTTCTCCCCTGCGAGGTCAGCGCGCCAGGCGCAGGTGGGAGGAGCCTTGCATGCTCCTAACCTGAAGCATCTTAGATGCATTTTCCTCATCCACGTTCCACTCGTGCCCGGGCTGCTCTCATTCATTGAGATGGGAAATAGGTGCTGCCTGAGATGGCTCAGTCTCCACATTTTAATTTTTTCAGAATACATCTTCCACAATTCGGAAGACTGCTCCCTCCCTGTATTGTATGTTTATTTCAAATTTTAAATTTGAAGAATTATTCCTCATAATGGGAAAAGAGGCCACTAAGATGTTTGTTTGTTTGTTTATTTAATGTGTTTTTATTGATTTCAAAGAGGAAGGGAGAAGGAGAGAGAGATAGAAACATCAATGAGGAGAGAGAATCGTTGATCGGCTGCCTCCTGCACACTCAATGCTTGGGATTGAGCTGGCAATCCCGACATGTGTCCTGACCGGGAGTCAAACCGTGACCTCCCGGTTTATGGGTTAATACTCAGCTAAGATATGTATTTTGCTAGCCATCTTTTTCTTGTTCCCTCAATGGTTTTAGAAGGCATTATGCTTTCTTTCTAACCTTACTCGATCTCTTAGGAGACATGTTTTACTTGACACATTATTTCCTGCTCTGCCCGGTCTGGGTCATTGCTCCTTTGAGTGAGTGGTGATGTGGAAGCTGCACTCCTGTGTTATTCTTCTCTCTTTGGGTGAAAGCGCTTACTGGTTCTTTGCAGCCCAGGGTGATAGTGTTGCAGTGGAGAGTGGGCTTCAAAGGAACATTGGATAAGACCTGGCAGGATGCAGATAAGAGGGGGCCTCAGGACTGAAGTTTCCTCTGAGTCTTCAAAGGAGCTCCTGAATTCCATTCTCTCCCTGGACTTGAGGAAAGTAAACACCCCTGCCCTTTAGAGTCCCAGCCCCTAGCCCCACCCATGAGCCAGTCCCACACCCGCAATTTCAGTTAAACTTGGAACTCTCTTAGCCTAGGTGTTGTGGGTTGGCCTATGGGCTTTTGTTTGGGCAATAAAAATAAATATATAAATAAACCGGGCTGCCGTTAGCAGGGCTAACCTGCCATATAGTGCACCAGGCCCCATTCCCAGATGCTTGCTTACAGCCTGG